CCTTCCGCTCGCTATTTGTGCCCGCGTTTCTTTTGCAGGTCCATGAATCGTCTTCGCAGGGGTCCCAACCTTCTCCCGCCGCCAGTTCAGGCTACGAGTCCTCCACCCCTCCAACCATCGTGTCTCCATCCACAGAAAACCAGACCGCCAGCTCCTTATCCCCTTCCTCCTCCGCAGTCCACCACACGTCCAGCCACAGCACGCTTACATCAAATTTTAACGAATGGTACGTTTAAAACGCTAAAACAAAACAACAAAAAAACAAAGCGAAACAAAACAAAACCCCCCAAGCGATCAAACAAATACCCTATTTAAAAGACTCCAAAAATAATGAACACTTTGAAATCAGAATTTTAAAAAGGAAACAAAAATAAAATGCTGCCAGTAGACCCAGGACTGAGTAAAATGAAGATACATTTTTGTTGGGTTTTTTTTGTTTTGTTTTTTCTTCCTTTTTTCATTTTATTTCTCTTCTTTTCATTTCTTTCTTATTTTTTTCTTTCTTTCTCTCTCTCTCTCTCTTTCTCTCTTTTTTTGACTGCTCTGTTCTGCTCTGTTCCAAGGCTTGGTAGGTGAAGGGGTTAGTAGAGTGCGTAAGAAGACAAGGTTACCAGGGCAAATGCCAACTGTGTAGGGCTTTACTGGAAACCACTGATTAGAGATCTCCAACTGCATGTCTGCTCGGGCAGCGGCCTTCCCCCCCATCCCCTCTTGTAAATACAGAATTATTAGCTTCAAAAAAAATGTACTGTTTGATTTTGTAAATAGTTATATCGCAAGTTGAATAAGGGGATATGTGGAGTTGTGGTCTTTGCATATATGTGGGGGGAGGGGAGGGAGGGAGGGAGAGGCGGCGGGGGGGGCGGAGGTGGTGGGGGGGCAGAGGGAAGAGGTAGAAATTCAACTATTTGTACTGAATGGCAAGAATGTTCTAGTAAATGTGTACCAAAATGTGAATTACTTTGTATTATTACAGTCTAAACGTCGATCTAACAGAATATTATTGGTATTAATGTGCTTTTTTGTATAAAGTGCAACATTTCGTCCCAAAGTCCAGTCTAAGTAGTGCAGTAAAATGTTGTTACACGTCCTGTCAAGAAATTCGTATAGTGAAAGCCTGGATCTGCGTGTCAAACTGTTACATTTGTTTATGTAAAGTGATATTAAAAAAAAAAGATATAAACTATATCTGTCCATTGCTTTTGGCAAATACAAGAACATAATGTATATAAATCCTAATTTCCATATTTATCCGCATGTAAAGGTCCGGTTATACATGTTACAAGATATTCAATATTTATGGCTAGAAGAATTGGTATGTAAAATTTAGTTTACAGAACTGTTTGGTAACATTTCGTACCTTATTAAAGATTCTTAAATCCCATGAATTGTGGTAGGAATTCTTATTCGCTCAGTCAACCTGCTGCAACTCCAACTAGCTTTAGGATATTAGAATAAAACTGTCCCAGTTTTTCACTGCTTTCCATTATGTCATCACTAAAGCAGCGAAGGTGATATAAATGTGATAAATGAAAGGATCCCTGCTGGCATTACTATAGTGTGTAATTAGTATTTATATCAAAATTTATGAAACAAATTTTCGGCCGCAGTATAATTTAAATGACCTTTGCAGACATAGAATAACAACCATAAAAATAACAGAAATAGATTGCATATGCTACATAAATATTAATGTGGGGAATTGTTACATGAGAAGTGCTTTACTTCACCCCAACACTGCCCATGAATCTGCATAGACTGGGTCCCTAAATTAAATTAATTCGGATAACATATATTAGGAGATTTAAAACAGAGGAGATTTCAGTTGTTATTTTAATTTAAAGCATTTATGACCATAACTAATTCTCAGGCAGTGGATTCATGACTTTCCTTGGGCCTTTTACTCCAAGAAGTACAGCACTGGTTCACGAAGGCCGTTGTTGTTGTTGTTGTTGTTGGGTATATTTTTGGTGTTTTTTTGTTTTTTTCTCTTTCCTTTTCTTTTTTCTTTCCTTTTTTTTTCTTTTTGCTGATATTCCTTAAAACGTGATGTTAATTTAAATCAATTACTTCTTATGTTATGTTATTATTATTACTATAATTTTGCCAGTGTTAATAGCTTTCTAAAAAAAATAAATCTAGGGGATAAGAATTATTTTATGTAATTTGATTATCTTCCTATCTCTTTTATTTATTTCTCATTTACTTAAGAAATTCGTTCCATTGGCTGGCGTTGATACAGTAAATTTGTAAATGAGAAGACAATATAAAAAATCTAAATTACTTGTGCTTAATGACTGTAGCAGAACGCCTTTTCTCTAAATCAGATTGTCTTCCTTGCAGTTTAGTTTGATAGATTTGCAAGCTGTACTGCTTCCACTAACTTAGCCACGGTTGTTGGAACTGTTGGGCTTTGTTCCTGGTTGTAGCCTGCATGATCGCCCCATTAAGCAGACAACGTATCAACAGACAACACAAATCATGAGGTTGGCTAAAGCTGCGAGGGCTTGCGATATGTCATAGAGTGAATTGCACAAACTGACCTTCCAGTAGACCAAGATGACACTTTAACAGCTTCTTTAAAGAAATATTATGTGTACAGCGAGTCAATAGGCATATTAACCGCTGGCGGGGGGAGGGGGCGGCGGCGGGGCGAGCCTGGGCTCCTCTTCGTGCCGCTGCTCCTGGCGGGGTCTGAACCGGCCCTAGCACAGCCCGGGGACACGGGAACAAAACAACGCACGTATTTTTACTGGTCTGTAGCGCTGGGATACTTCCTTTGGTGATTTTTCGCCGCCCCGAAGACCCTCCTTCCCCCCGCGAAGTTTGACGGGGTCAGACGAAGCCCCGCTGCTGCCAGCCGGGCATCGCCGCCTGCTCGCGGGAGAAAGCGGGAGAAGGGGTCGGTTTAACTTTACTTTCTACTAAATGTTATTATTATAAGCCTAATATCAGTTTTCAATGAAAAGAGCGCCACCTTGCAGGGTTTGGCGAGATAGAAAAAAGTTCGAGACCGGTGGGACCTAGGCAGAAATTGTTGGTACTTGGAGAAACGTAATCCAGCGGGCAAAAAGAGCCAGGAAAATATGTTTAGCGTGTCGAAAATGTCACGCTCTGTGCATCTTTCAGGTTGACTGTCCCGTCGGTTTGTCCTGGCATGAGCTTTAAAAAACAACCTAAGCGTAGCTAAAAAAAAAATCGTGGAGCTGGTGTGAGCCATCCTCCTGTCAAGTAAACCAGGAGAAACGTAGCGTGGGCAATATATTTTAAAGATGCATATTGCAAGTTTCTTTGAACTTATGTGAAGTCTCCAGCGGCCGCTCAACACCGATCTGTTACTTACATATATCTGAGCACTTGGTTAACGAGTATTCTCTTAAACTTTTGGTCTGAGGTTTGTTTCAGCGTCCTACAGCATAGAGGATATTGTTGTTGCTGCTGCTGCTGCTGCTGTTGTTTCCTATCGGGGGGTGGGAGGAAGAGTGAAATCCTGGTTGATCGCCACACCATATATGTTCTGAATTAGCGACCATCACTGGGGATGGAGTCGCTGGATTCAAGTCCACACCACACTCATGCTGTTGGCTCTGAAGAAAGGAGCAGTGCTGTAACATACCTCCCCCTCCCCCCCCCCCCCCCCCCCCCCCCCCCCGTCAGCCAGAGGGGCATTTTGCAGACAGAGAGGTTGTGAGGAGTCTATCGACTGTTTCCATGCTCAGCTAGTCGCGAAGCCAACTCTCCTGTAGCAATGCACTGTTTTCGGATTTGATCACGAAGGCTTGCAAAGGGACACGTTAATCCTAGCGCTGGAACTTCGACGTGCTCCACTGCTTTGTTTGTCCCTTTAACGTCTGGCTTTTGAGATGATTTTTGGTACTTTTTCTTCATGGGTTGTTAGGTTTCGAAATACACGGGCGTTAGTTGCGAAGGGCAGGGTCAGGGCTGCGCACTAGCGGAAGGCCGCGCTGGCAGCCACCCGCCCCGTTTGGTGCTGTGTTTTTTGGTGTAGCCAAAACGCCGGGGCTCGACGCGCGGCTG